GTGACAGGGGAAAGCATCTTGAAACTGCAAAACCCTTTCTGGAGTCTTCTCCAGAACATGCTCCACTCCAGACAGCAGGACTCTGTGGAATCTCCCAAACCATGACCAATGGGCAAAAGGTACTCAGCACAGAGGCCAGAATAGAGTCAAACTCAAATGGTGGCTTTAAAACAAAAGCCGTGGGTCTGAGATAGTCCACACGGTGCTGTTCATTTGCTGGCAGGAACCTCCAGAGCTTGAGCTGTCCTGTCTTGTTTTGCTTTGGGTTTTTTTAATCAATCAAATGCAATTGTTTAAAACATAAGTCATCACTCACTAGGCTCGGGGACCACAGATCAGTCTGCAGCTCTGGTTTTGCTCAGAGGGACTTAACCTCAGTCCCTCCCCCAGAGCTGCTGCAAAGACTCTCAGGGCCAGAACACAGGCGCCTCGCAGTCCCAGTGCACAGATGAGGTCGCCACCGTTCTGTCTAGTGTTGGGACCAGTCTGAGCAGGGTCAGGCCTCTGCAGGGGGGAACCACCCACCTGCCAGGCGGCCATGGGGACTAGGAGGAAGATTATAACTCCCACGGGCTCACAGAACACGCCCACGGCTGCTGTTAAGGCCTCACCCCGCGAGGAGGAAAGAAGAGAGTGCAGGGGCTGGGGACAGGTGAGTCTGGATAAGAACTGCTAGAATTCTCCACTCTTCCTGGAGGAGGGCACTCCCGCCACCTGCAGCGCCAGGCCGCCACCCGGGGCTCCCTCTCTGCAGGGAACACGGGACGCACGGTGGCTGCACGTGGTGCTCTCTGACAGCCCTCCCACCCTGGCTGCCATTCAGGGGTGAAGGCAGATGACACAGGCGTCCTTGTGCCTTCCAGGCCAGGGCAGCAACTGACACAGACTTTCATCCCTGGCTCAAAGGGAAAAAAGCCGGGCTGGGGAGATGACTCTGCCATTTGCACAAAGCCTTGTCTTGGAGAGAAACCCAGTTCTAGATCTCCTGGCAAAACCCACTGTTCTCGCCAGCATTCTTATTCATTTGAACAGAGAGAAGATGTCTCCAAAACAAAGCTTCCTCACAGCCACATCAGGGCCTGGAAACGCAGGAACTTCTTTGCCAAATAGTCTGTCCTCTCATTTCCAGAACAACGGCACGGGCATCACGCATCCCGAGGAGTCCCCCACCGTTTGCTCCTTCCCTCTGCTCCTGCACATGCGCTCTCTCCATTCAACCTGGACTCCTGCATGCCAAGACCTTGCTAATCTGTTCTGATTCCATCTCGGCACGCAAGACGGGAATGACATTTGGCCGCGAGCAAACAGACTGCACAGTGCCAGAAGTGGGCAGATTGATAAACACCGGTCCCACTTTCTGCTGTTTCTCTGGCTGCCGCCGCCACCAGCTTACATTGTCTGCCTCCCTGACTCATGGGTCTAGCACTCTCGGAAAATAAATGACAGATGCCCATGAGTCCAAAGCAACACAGACTGTCCACAGCCAAGTTTTTAAAGGCGATGCACTAAATACTTCTGAGACAGGCTCCACTGCAGGAAGCCCTGGGCAGGCAGCAACCTGCAGAGACAGGCCTACCCACATGGGCAGTGACAGGGGACGGGGTGCTGTGGGCCAACCTGGATTTAAAGGATTGACCCAAACAATGCTATTTCAGAAATTTCCCTAGGAAAACAATCCATAGAATGAAAAAATACATATACACACATACACACACAGTATGTATATATATGTATTCAAGAAGATGCCCTATTGTTTCAGTAGGGAAAAATGTAGAAATGAGTTGATTGCCCAAGAGTGGGGATCATGAACACCCCAGCAACAGAGCCACTCCATGGGACTTGGTACCACTGAATAGATTATTTGGGAAGCTCGCGAAGCTGCAGGAAAAACCAGAGATGATGTATGTACAGCAGAATAGGGGAAGGATTTGCAACTCTACTGACACGTGACCACAAGTATTAAAGCTATGCAGTCCCACAGAAAAGACCCCCCAGAGAATGCGACAAACACGACTTGGGTGTGCTGCACACTGCTGATGGGTTTCTTATTTCTCTCACTGAGAATCCCATCTAACTGTGACTTCTCTTGTTTGAAGAGCACAGCTAGGCTGCAGGAAGAGCTGCCGGGACAGCCCACGCTGTGCACTTCAGCGAGCACTTCTTGGGCATCTCCCTGGGATGGAGACCATGCACGCACCTTCTGATCGAAGCTGTCCGGGGTCAGGTAGAAGTTGTGGAGAGGAACAAAGTAGTCTTCAAGAAGGCCCATGAGCAGAACCAGGTACACGCCATCTGCAAACTGGACAGAGACACCTGGTGAGGTTTCTGGGCAGTGTATGAGGTCAGCAAATACTCTGCACATACTCAGTAAAAATAATCCATCTCTCCTTTCACCATAGGTGAGAAAACCTGGAATCAAGTGAGGACGAGGGCCAGGCAGAGCAGGGCGGCCTGTCAGCAAGTGAGTGGACCCTCCACTTGCACAAACAACCAGCAGGCTTGCACCCTGGTGTAGAAATCCGCTGTGCATCTCATGGGGAATGGAAGTCCCCATGGAGGCCACAAGATACCATCATCGCCGTCTTCATCATCAACACTGACCTCCTGCCAAGCCCTGCTTTTGCTGATTCTAATGCATTATCTCAACTANCATCAACACTGACCTCCTGCCAAGCCCTGCTTTTGCTGATTCTAATGCATTATCTCAACTAATCCTCACAATGTCTATTGTCTCCATTTTAAACATGTGGAGAGAAGCTCAGAGACGTTGAGTAACTCGCTCAGCATCACAGAACTTGGAAGCTGTCCACAATGTAAAAGTGGTTCTTAAAAGGAGGGAAAACACACACCCCCACCCCACCACTCACACACCACATGCCATACACACAAACACACACATGATACACACACACACACACCACCCTTCACATACCACATGCCATACACACACAAATACACACACACAATACATGATACACACAAACACACACACACACCACCACTCACACACCACATGCCAGTCACAGACACAAATACAAACACAACACCCATGATACACAGACACAAACACAAACCACTCACACCTGTCAGGAATTGAATCTGTGCCTCTCTGACTCCCAGGGCATCAAGACTTTAATGATTGATGGGGCCGGCCCGGTGGTGCACTGCTACAGTGCGCCGCTTAGGAGCGCAGTGGCACTCCCGCCGAGGGTTCGGATCCCACATACAGACCGGTTCC